ATATAGTGGGGTCATTTCAATGAAATGTCCTTAAAAGGGTGTAATGGTAACGTCATTAATTGTTTGACTCGGTACCATCCCCTGCTGTGCTTGGTTTCTATTCTCCTTCTTAACGTTGAGTTTCCTAGTGTACATTTATTAAGCTCAGCATACTGTAAACTAGGAGAACAAGCATTGTGGATTTGAGAAGCCGTTCCTGTTATTAAAACAGCCCAGAGTCTCTCTTGTGGATGACACACTGACTCAACCGTTAAAAAGTTTCTAGCCTCTCCCTTCCATTGTTGCCAGGTTGGTTCCAGTAATAGACATTATCTTTCAAAGTTTCAGGATGTAGCCAAATGTACATAGAAAATTCTCAGATGTACAAGGAAGTGTATTCACATCTTCCCAGTCTGTTCTTTTTCTTTTCATGTTTAATTATATATTTGACATCTACACATGATACATTTTGTCCAACCAATAATCAAACATTTAAATTATTTAAAAAAAAAAAGCCATTCAATTTATTCTCATAAGAGAAAAATAATGGGTTAACCAGCTGTGGATTTCCGTGCTTTAATCAGTCTTTGATTGATTGTAATTGATTGTAACTTGAATTAAATCTGACAAGGCACCAAAAATAATTTCAGCTACCTTTGTGACAACCATTGTTAAATCAACTAATGTGTCTGATAGGGAGTTAGCTGCACTGTTGGAAATGTCTGGGCAGCCATTTGGTACGACTAAAAATGGCAGAGAAGAGCTGCAGGCGAGCAGACAAGTTATTCATTAAAATACATTATGCGCCAATATGACTATATCTAGATATACTATTATCCCATTTCGTGTTTTTCCGAGTGGTTCCAAGCCTTATTTATGTTCAAAAATATGAATTAAACTCTCCAATATCAATCTAAAAGCATACTATTCCAATTAAAGTGGTGATTGGGATTTTTGATTCATTAGCCAAAGTGCCATTTACTGTACTTTCACCTACCAGTGCCGTCTCCACCCGGGGGGTTTAATCCTGCTGTTTCCCAAGATGCATAACTTTCCTTCTCCTTCTACTGATATGAAATAAGCTAATCTCCACACTTTACACGTTCACACCAGGAATCACATTCTGTCAAGTACAGGCTTGCAAAGTGTCGTGCAACTTCCGATACATTTCCACAAAAACTCCAAGGGATGTTAAGCTCTGGAATATTTGGGAATTTTTCAACAATTAATGCCCATTTGACCGGATTGTATCAATGCACTCCATTCAACACCTATTCTTCCAACACATGAAGATAAAGTTGGCAAGCATCCCATAAACTAATAATTCAGGAGAATAACAACCCTCTGCACGCACAGTGTGTTTACATGTGCAGCGAATGCACTCTGAGCCAAAGAAATACAAGCCAGTTTCAGAAGTACAAAGTTTATATCTTGTGCTAGATTTAGCTAGCTAGATGTGGCTGGATTGGGAACGCTAATGGAAGAGTTGTAATTCATCTATTACGATTCATTTTTTGATCCTAAAACTTTTCTTTTCTAATTTAGTTTTTCAATTTAAACCAAAATGTTGTAGACAGCCCACAATTTTTCTCTCGATTATATAAAATGATCTTTCAATTTTGTTAACTTTAGATAACTCACCACATTAATAATAATACCTTGTTTTTATAGCGCTTTTCCTGGTGCTCAAAGATGCTTTACAAATAATTCTCGATCCTAGGCATCAATGTTTTGCTTTGTTCCTTTCGAGATGGTGGCTCAAATTTCAACAATTACTCAAATCGAGCATTATATTGTAGTTTTATTATAGTAGAGTATAAAATGTATTGGTATGTGAGAGTGTGTATAGTGTAAAGTGTTTAGGCAGTATTGCCTATGTGCGGGCCAGCAGAAACTTTAATTCACTTAAAATGTAATTCCATTTGATGTTCAGCCATTAATGCAAATATACAGAAGTGATGGTGACTATGGGCAGGAAGTCAGAAATCAAAACGTTGCTTGTCCGACATGTTGTAATTTATGTCATCTCCTCGCGTCACCGACTGGTCAATTTGTATTCTTTTACCCTTTGCGTCATCAGTGAGTTAATGTCACATTCCCTAAGTGGAAACGGAAGCTCATCTTTGACACATTCACTCATTTCAGGATGAATGCTTTATTAATTAGCATGTCACTCAGGCAGCTCAATAGCATACGTGTGTGTGCATGAAGATGTGAGTGAACGTCAGACAGGAAACGGCAGACAAAAGATTCCTCTGACTGAGGCTCATCAGCATGGACACTCTGTTTCCCTTTGACCCTGTCTCCGTCCCTCTGACTGTCTTGCTGCTTTATTATCCATGGTTATATACACACATATTTATTTCCATATGAACACGTACCTTAAACAAATGTTTTTTTCGTTAAATCCCGCTCTTGGCGGTGGGTTATTTTACTTTTGAAAATAAAGTTGTCAGTGCTTTCTGGTGGACAAAATATATAATGAAGATACTGTTTCTACATTTCCCCAATCATATCTTGGGCAATTGTGATCTTTAAATATTTAGTTTTTTGTGAACCAACATACAGATATAGGCCTACAGATATATCTGGGATAAAGCTTGTTACACTGAGAGGCACTAGAGCAGCGTTTCTCAAAGTGTGGGGCGCGCCCCACTGGTGGGGCGCAGAGATGTGATAGGTGGGTCACGAAATACAAAATAAAAAAAATGTAAATTTTTTTTTTTTTTATCAAATATCAAAACAACGGCACGGGGTGCAAAACGCATCAATGAAAGCGACGACCTTCTACCACACAAAACAACACCTGTAAATAACCCAATTTGTGTTCTTTGAAATTGAAAAGGATATTGTGATTGTTTGTTTCGTTGCAGTTGTATGTCTTAAGTGTAATTTGGCATGCTTTTATTTTGAAGGCGAGTTTACGCTGTTGACAGGAAGTTGTTGTTGCTATGGAAACCAGAAACGTTTCACAGCGGGCGGAACTTGTCATTTAGAAGGAAGATATGATTGGTCAATTGTACTGTCATTTGACATTACTCTCTCGTTCAGTTACTATAGCTGGCCCTCTGTGAATTCATAGCTGGACGTCCAATCAGCTCCTGTCTTCACCTCGCAGAGACAAGCTTCTTTCATTTAACCCTTTACATTCAAACAGAAACTGAATAGGCAGATTCAAAGGATTTATTTCTTTGGAAATGTTATTTTAAATACTATTTAATCAAGTTACTTTTGGTAAAACTAATGACAAATATTACTAAAAACATATTTTAAAAAAATATATAAAGAAAAATATTATTTTGTTTTTAAATATTATTTTGTAGAATATCTTAGGCCCTCAGAGAGGGCATAGACTGGAGGGCCCTGACGGCTCGCCACTGGTAAAAATATCTCATACACACAAACGCTCTCACAGACACACAACAGCGTTGCAGTCGGGAAGAAAAGCAATATGGAGCGGCATCTCACCACTTCAAGGAGTTTAACCGCGACACTTTTCGAAATCCCATTTGTGTCCCCCCACTTTACAAATAGGCCTATGTTTATTATTATTTTTTAACGCAAGCCATCATCGCCACGGAGGAGCACACAGCCTCTGTGAGCGAGCGAGTCGGAGAGCGAGAGAGCTAGAGAGAGCACACCTTTTTCCATTTAATAAAGTTGTAAAAAATAAAGTAAGAAATCATTCCAATGTGTAATATGGGACAGTAAAGAACAAAAAAATTGTTCAAAAGGGGAGGGATTAGTAAAATATGCATACATCAAAAGAAAGAATGCTAACTAGGTAACATAAGATAAGAATAAACAAGTTGAAATGTTTGTTATTGGTTGTGATCATATTCTAAAGATGTTTGGATTATTGAAAAGTATACAGCTCCCTTTCATCTGAGTGTTGAGAGCTGTATCCATAAATTCATGCTGTGCTCAAAGTAGGGCTGCTCGATTATGGCAAAAATCATAATCTCGATTATTTGGGTCAATAATTGATATTGCGATTTTAAAAAACGATTAACCATTTACTTTGAAAACATCAATTTATTGAAGAAAATAATTTGAAAAGTATGTTTTTAACAGTGGATTACCCTGAACTTTAAGTATAATTCAACTGAAAAACCTATTTAAAAATAAATAAATCGTTTTATTTCGATTATGTTGTTTTCATAATCGTTGCAAGCCAAAATCGTAATTGCAATTAAAATACGATTAATTGAGCAACCCTAGCTCAAAGTGCACCAGATTGATGCATTTAACTTCAACATTTATTCCTAGAGGATGTGACGTCCACCCCCAAATAAAGAAGGTTAAAATAATTAAATTGAATACATTTTATTTTAGTAAACACTGAAAACGGGTCCCACAGACCCAAACAGCACACAAAGGTTAAAGGTAGCATATAATCATTTTCAAATGTGCTAAATATATACACTGCAAAAACACAAAAAAGAGGAGTAAAAGTAGCTCACAACTTGTTTTATTTTTTGAAAGTAGCTCGCATCCTAAAAAAGGTTGGAGACCCCTGTTATAGAACGATACATTTGTCAATTTTAAGCTTGGCCTACCATTTTATTGGAGCGATGAGGAACAGGTGGGGCTTAAAAAGGCCCACCTGTTCAAAGTGGGGAATGACAGAAAAAGTTTGAGAACCACTGCACTCGAGTGTCCTTATTTGGTTTCAAAGTTCTCTACTGCCTGATGACGTGTGTGTGTGTGTGTGTGTGTGTGTGTGTGTGTGTGTGTGTGTGTGTGTGTGTGTGTGTGTGTGTGTGTGTGTGTGTGTGTGTGTGTGTGTGTGTGTGTGTGTGTGTGTGTGTGTGTGTGTGTGTGTGTGTGTGTGTGTGTGTGTGTGTGTGTGTGTGTGTGTGTGTGTGTGTGTGTGTGTGTGTGTGTGTGTGTGTGTGTGTGTGTGTGTGTGTGTGTGTGTGTGTGTGTGTGTGTGTGTGTGTGTGTGTGTGTGTGTGTGTGTGTGTGTGTGTGTGTGTGTGTGTGTGTGTGTGTGTGTGTGTGTGTGTGTGTACACACAGATGGAACGTCAGATGGTGATGCAGAACCAGATGAGAGAGAGACAGATGGCGATGCAGGTTGCCTGGTCCAGAGAGTTTCTCAAATACTATGGGACTTTCTTTGCGTTGGCTACAGTTGGACTAACTGTAAGGTGAGTTTTGTGTAAAACAAGCTCATAGGTTCAACTCCCAGGTGTTTTGTTCAGGATAAAAGATGATTGTTGTTTCTATCACAAGCATACAGACATCCTGTAATAATGCTTAGTGTGGAGACCTATACCTGGTTGTATATGAAAGCAGTACATTTTCACAGCTTCAATATTCAATTAATCTCTTGACATTGTTCTCAATCTATTGTTCTATATTCCTAGGATTTAGTTGATGCAACAACTCCTGTATTACTGTGTTCATGCTAATGCCGTTGGCAGATGAAAATGTATGTAATTGAATATAATTGTGATGCAATCATAGAAGCTTTTATTTATCCTACTTCACCTAATAACAGGCGATGATACTAAGAAGTTCTTCTTTTTGTCTCTACGCTTTGCTTCAGTGCCATTAAAAGAAGGAAGCCATTCCTATTGGCTCCCATCGTTCCTCTGGGCTTCATAATGGCCTACCAGGTGGACAGTTCCTATGGGACGCTTATTTATCGAGTGAGAGGTAGGACTACGCCTTTGTCTTCTTAAAATCCATTACATTTCATCCACATTTAACAACAATCAAGAGAACTCTTGCACTGATATACACAATGTACAACATTTTATTATAAATGCCTTTATTACTAAAGTTAAATGATATTCTGACACATTAATTGCAATTGCATATAAATATAATTAAATGGTTGGTCAGACATTAGTGTATATTATATTTAAACTAATCTGTGTATTCCCAAACTATACTCTCCTCCCATTTAAATCCATTCCCTGACTAGCTGTTTTCCAATAATCGATGTCTTAAAACCTATTTAGTCGATCCACAATATATACATAAATATCCAGCTATAACAGAACTATGATCATATCATTATTTCCAATCCTCAATTTTTCCCTGCAGATAAATAGCTTCCAAATATAATGAATGAATTTATAAAAAAAAAACGTAACACAACTCTTGAACGTGTGGGACAAAAATAGTTGTTTTAACACCCATTTGCAACAATACCACACAGTGTTTTCTGTATCCGTTGTACCCTCTTCAGGGGAGGCTGAGAGTATCATGACGTCTGACCACGACCGCCTGGACTTGCCTCATGGGACTCCAACCTTCGAAAGCATAGAGAAAGCTCGCCGCGCTAGAAGCAGCCTCGCCTCCTTCCTGGAGAAATGAGGTGTTGTTTATTAAAACACATCATCCCCGTCCAGTCGATGCATTCACCATTCTGCTTTATGCTGCTTTGACATTATTGAGTCTATGGTTTGCACTAATTCTATATCATGGACCTTGATTCAAATTAGTTTAAATAATAAATAGTGTTGCTGTTGTTTTGTAGCTATTGTTATAAAAGATGCATGAGTTACCACATACTGAAGCCAAACTAAATACTTTGGGTTGTGTTACACTGTCAGTATGCGGCATATCATGGAATACATCTGTCAAATTCATGTTTGCATCAATTAAAGCACTGTAACATCAATAATGTTTCCATATTCAAAGTCAGGCTCTAACTTTGGAAAGCTATTGCCAATTGAACCCTCAGAAGACAGACACAAATGTTTAGAATTATTGTTAAAGATGAAATACTTAATTTGAGTTTTCACACAATTCCAGAAGATATTTAAACCAGCGCAGCTCTATCTCATTTTCAAATTGCATTATGGAAAAGTCAGTTAGCATGCTGGTCTGGTTTGCCTATATTTTGTCCTTTTTCCTAAAGAACAGCTTAGCCTCAGTTTGTTGTACGTAATGTGCACCTGGCAAACATCTTAATATGTTGTGTTTAAGCTTAGTTTATTGTATCGTACATTAAAGGTGCATTAAGTGATGTTCGACCACTAGAGGGCAGAACATACTTATTAAGCTATAGAAATACAATTTGGTTGATTCATTCATTTGCCAGGACTGGATAATCAAAGTAGCTACAAAGAATAATCAACACTACCGACATGCGTCCTGATGAAGATTATTGTTACTTCACACTCTATCACTAAATGGTTTGTTCGTGGTTTCTGAAAAGTTGATTTGCCGATTTGGAATTTAATTGCAAAGAAGCTTTACACCAAAGCTTTAGTTGGCATTGTTGCACCTGTAACTTGTATTTGTATGATCACAACTGTATTCAGTGGATGTAAAATATAACACGGTGCTGATATTTATGAATTGTGCATTTGCCATAATTTTAACTCATGTATGACATCATGGAAACTATTTTTGGTAATCAAATAAAAATAAATATTGCCAAGTCTTTCTTTTCTACAATCATATTTTGTGACATGATGCCAGTTTAAGGCAAGGCTCCAAAGCCAACTATGTATATAACCACCATTAAAGGTCCCCTATTATACCTTTTTTCATCAATATATTATAGGTCTCAGATATATACAAACATGTCTCTGAAGTGTTTGGCTCCGAATACCAAACAGATCATTGTAGCATCCCATAATCCCCTCTGTTTCAGCCCTGTTTCAAAAGTGCTGATTCTCTGTCTGTTATTCAGTGGTCGCCAACCAGTCGGGTCGATCGCGAGTGTGGTGCGGGTAGATCGCGGACCGTTAAAAAAAAAAGTAACAAGAAATACAAATAAAATAAAAATAATAATGTTTGAAAAATACGTTTTTAGATGTAAACCCCCCGGGACCACCCCCCCGGACCCCCCTAGAGGAGGTGAGGACCCCCCTAGAGAAGGTGAGGTCCACCCCCCACTCGTAAAAAAATAGCACTTTACCCCTGCCTAAATGCCGTGAGCTGATTATGGAGCCTTCATTGTAACAGTAATTCAGATGCAATTAGCCTATATAAAAGGCCTCAAATTGGAAGCACTGTCTGGGCCGTCTTTTTCACTCGTGAACTGTTAGCGCCGTGTTATGCATGCCCACTGCACCTCGCGGGAGCAGGCACAGCGTAAAGCAAAAACTCTCAGACATTTCAATTATTCGTACGGCAAAATACGGTTTGGAAACAATATCATTTCCTTTTTGGCGGGCATGCATAACACCGGAGCCTCGCTGCGGGGAAACGTTGGCGCTGTTCTGAGTTTGTTCTAATCTGTCAAAAATGACGGACTGCTTTCAGATTTTTCCGTCACTGTTAAAAAAAATCCGTCATAGACGTAAAATCGTTATGACATCATAAAGTGGCCAAAATCTGATCAGCTCATTTTCAGACAGGTTTTTATAGAAATGGATCTGGACAAAAAGTGAGAGAACATTTTTTCCTGAAACTTTCAGAATCTCTTTCCACAGAGAATACATACTTTATACATGTGTATGTATAAAAGACATGAACAAGTGGATTTTGCATAATGGTGACCTTTAACTAAACCCCCCTTTTGGACATAGTGATAAAGAAGCCTGAATCACAAACGCAACTACATCCTTCCCAGTGAGGTTTACAAGACATCATACATGCCTTCGTATTGTTTGTGTCAAAATCGTAACTGCAACTTGCGTATGAGTAATGAGCACACTCACACTACAAAAGAATATCGCTCTAATGTTATTACAATAAAGAAATATCTCCAAAGTACGTCATTGTCATCAATCTATATGACGTGAGCGTGAGGGAGGGAGGGAGGGAGAGGGGTTGGGGTTGAACGCAGAGGTTGATGAGTGAACCAGTGAGTAGGTTTCCAGAGAGAACAAAAAGAGGGAAACCAAAGCTCTGCAACACAAGACCGCCAACAGAAGCATCCTTCACAAGTTGAGCATTCGGCTGCTACACAACAGGATTTGAAACCCTGATCAGATCTGAGGTGGAGCTCTGCTTGACCTTCCTGTGCAGACGGCTCTGTTAGTGACAAGTGAGAATGCTCTGGAGATTGACTCTTGCCCTGGCTGTGGTGTGCGTCGGTGGCATCTGCAGCTGTGTGAAGGCGGACACGATGAGCAGACTGCTGCTGCCGAGGGACTACGGGGTGAAGCTGTGCGGGAGAGAGTTCATCAGAGCGGTCATCTTCACCTGCGGCGGCTCGCGCTGGAGACGCTCCACAGACGGGGACATAGGTGAGCAACATGCTGCTGGTTCATCAGTGCTCACTAATTGGACGAGTGTTTATCTTAAAAAATGAGTTTTAAAAATGTGAATACAGACCTTAAAGACTCTTCTGAAATATTCTTCAAACCTTTAATGTTGAGACGTGTCTTTAAATATACAGTAGTCTGGTGTATAGTTATAATGTAAGACATTGATTCCTCATTAAGGCTTAAGAAAGAGAATGCAGGCAAGGAACTATCATTATTTTGTTCCTACTTTATTTGTAGCGCTCACATGTTTGTAATTGTAAGTTATATATATCAACAGGTTAGGCTGCAACAGGTTTAAAGAGGCAGCATTTCTCCACACATTTCAGTTAAACAGACGATATAAAGAGCTTAATTTCAGCACCATGGTCAGCTCATGTTTATTTTTTATTTGACCAATCCTTTAAACGAGTATAACCATCATTCCTGTCTCCTTAGTTCTACAAAATGTCAATTTTCTTATCATTCTAATCTGTGAATTAGTTTTTAACTATGACCAAAGATGCATATGAGAAGTGATGTGCCTCCATCTTTATATGTATCTCCTGCTAATATTGATCAACCCTCTTTGATTCTCCAGCTCCCTTCCAGTGGAGTTCCCTCAGTGATGTGACAGTGGGGGACGACCAGCCAGACTGGCAGCCTGGCACAGAGCTTTCAGCAGATAAGCCTTCTCCGCTCCTCATCAGCTCCTCTTCCTCCCTGGCGGACCTCCTGGCTCTGTACGTGGCCCGCAGAGAAAGGCAGCAGCTGCCTCTGAGCGACTTCGCCCCTCAGTCGCAGCCTTTCACTGTTTTAGGTGAGCAAGACGGGAACCCAGCCGCAGGGGACTGGCCCGTAGCGAGCAAGAAGAAGAGGAACTTTTCTCTGGGTGTGGCCGGGAAGTGCTGCAGTCAGGGCTGCACCAAGAACGATATTGGACGCTTGTGCTGATTCAGGGAGCAGAGCGGCTGTGACATGAAGGTGTAATGGACAGTGTTGATGTTAAATATGGAGGAGAGAAAGTTCACATCTGCTTTTCATAGGTTTAAGTGAGCCTAATATTTAAAAAATGATATATTTTCTTTACTTTCCTTGTTTGATATTTTGTTAATCATGTATAATAATATCATGTTCTGTAAGTAACCCTTTCAGCATCACTGAAAATAAATTCAAACTGTGTTAATATTAAATCTTCAGCCTTAAAGTGTCCTTTGTTTATTTGCTGGACCAGGAGAAGCACCCATTGTTTAGCCTGCGGACCACATGACTAACCTGCATTTATTCTAGCACCGGGCAATATCACACATGTCATTTCGGCTGCGGTGAACTTATTGCTGACATCTGTTCACAACATTACGCCTGCCTGATCGTTTTCTGTTCGCACCCGCAGGACGCTACTGCAGAAAAGTAGATTTCCCTTTATCCTTTGTGACAAAGATGAAACAAACATACACACATGTAACCCAATGCACAAAACCGCACACTTCATCATTCTCTGTATAATTGTAAAACTCATGTACACAACTTAATTAAAAAAATTGATAAGCCACATTTTTGATCAAAGAAAAACAATGTTCATGTCCGTAGTACTGCAATAGGTTTTCTTTAATACAATTATGTACACACCTGGAATATAATACATATCCATTTTTATAATATTTACATTTATCTATACATGTAATAAATGTAGCTGCATGTTTTCCGTTGGATGACAGAACAAGGCTTAATGTCACTGACACAAAACTCAAATGGTAAAAACACCAGTTAAATCTGGTTTAACATCCTTTGTTTTCCTGACAATCTTGTGATAAATACATATTTCACAAAATAATATTTGGTTCACACACCAATGTACAAACATCACAATAAGGGCTTTATGAGGAAAAAGATCTGAGGTGGGAAAATAAAGTAGTTTTTCCGTCTTGGCAAGATTTAGAAACTCTGAAGACACAGACTTGACGTAAACAATGTGTGATTGTGGTAGTGCCCGAGTTTAGAGCGCTGGTATGTTTGTAAGTGAGAAAACGTTGCTCTTTACAATGACTTATTCTCAGGGATGTGAGAGGGCGTCCGTCCTTTGACATTTTGTGTGTGCGTGTGTAAGATCTGCCATAAAAAACAACTTCGTTTTTTCCAAATAAGACTGATGCTGTTCCACAAATTACAATCTGTTCAGGGACTGACTTTGAACAATCCCCTCGTTAAGTCAGTACACACATTGATAGACACTGTAAAAAAAACTTTTAAAACATTCCATTTTAAAGACACATTTTTGGCAGACATTGTAAAGCACCTCAGGACACATATTTAACTTATGCACATGCTCCTTAGCCACTTGAAATGGGTGGACAAATGACAAAATGTTCTGTATCAACAGACAGACAACATATCCTTGTAACACTGCAAACATTATACTGTAATTAAACCCATAACTTATTACATCACCCTCATCATTTCCGGTTTCAAAAACAAACCATTGGACTAACTTTGTATACATTAGTCCATGAGCTGACACTTCTCGCTGCCCAGATCTTAAGGAAATCTCTGTAATGCTTTTTGTTTGCATATTGCATGAAGGGATGTAAATAAAAGTGGATGGTGATTAAGTTCAAATCTCAGGGAAGTTAAGTGTTTTGAGATCCCATTTCCCTTCTGTGAACCATGGATCATTTTTCCTTGGAATGTCACAACAGACACCAATTTCGTTATCTTGCAAAAGCAAAATCTTTTATCAGTGGGCCAGACGCTCAATCAGCATGAAGTTACCTCATTATCCTCAATGTGCAATACATATCTGTAACAGCAGGAATGTGATTTGTAACTACCGGTAGAGATGTGCATAACTGGTCCCCTTGTGTGCATTAACAAACAAAATGCTACTTGTTGGTTATTTATATATTTTTGGTACTAATACTGATTTCAAGGCTTAAACATCACAACACAACTTACTTAGACTAGAGAATAACATAAAGAAAATAATGTATGCAATTGTGATTTTTTTTAAAAGCATCTCATATGTCTTATATTTGGTGTTTAAGTCAGATCTAGTGTAATAATCAACCAGGTTATTTTATTTATTATTAAACTGCTAAGAAAGTAGATACTACCTCTCATCATCCCTATTTGAGCGACATGCAGAGCCACAAAAGAACACGAGTGTACGTCCGACTGCATCACAGCAGTGAGGTCACAGACACCTTCAGTGAGTGGACACCTAAAGGTCAAAGGTTAAGCTGCAATGTGTCTCATCCGTCCTTGTTCTCTCGTACAGTCTCCACACTGTGGATTAATGTCTTGAATGAAGGGCGCAGTCCCGGCTCGCTGCTCCAGCACTCTGTCATCATCTTGTACATCTGAAGGAAGAGCATGGACATTAACACAGGAACAAACAATACATAAAACTGTGTATTTGTCTGCGATGGCTGAGCCTTGTTTGCTCAACTTCATGAACAAGATATCGTACCAACAGTTTTTATTCAAACCAAAACAGAGTACTTTGTAATTGTATAGCTTGTACAGAGTTACTGACCTCCTTTGGACAATTATCAGGAGCAGGCAGCCTGTATCCCTGTTTCAGAAGATCCATCAGATGGTAGACGATCATCTGGCCCTGCTTTTCATTTCCCATTTTGTCCATGAACACCTAGAACAGAAAACAAGTGTTGTTATTGTTTGGCTTTAATTAAAACAGCTTGGTAAAATGTCCCAAATGACACAATAAAATCGTGTTTATTGTTTTATTGAGTGCTTAATCAACTGATTTCTCGACAGACTTAAAATAGCCCAATTAAGTTGAAGGGGTAGAGGAGGAACATTGTGAGAGAAAATAAGTTTGTCAAACTTAAAATCAAATTTGAAAGAAAGAAGAATATGTAGAGTACCGCCGGTGGGCTGCATTTCTTGTCACTGTAGGTGAAGAGTTCGTAGAGGACAACGCCGAAACTCCAGACGTCTGATCCCACAGAGAACTTGCTCTCTGTCAGCGACTCTGGAGCATACCTGGAAGAAAAAAACACAAAACATTTTACATACATTAAACATCATTTACTGATGCCTGAACACATTGTTAAACAATCAACACTGTTCATATTTAACAAGCAGAGAGAGATAAAGGCATACAAGAACAAAGACTAAATGAAAATGGTATTTATCTCCAGATGTCCTATGTTTTACACTCATGTGTAAAGATCAGTCATCAAGACTAACAATACGTACAATAGAAAAATCATTCTCCTTGAGCCTTTATCTTCATTGATGTCAACCTAGACTATTATAAATATATTTCGAAGTCTTCCTCACCAGAAGATGGGGCTCTCCCCTGGCTCTCTGACGGTGTAGTACTCCTTGTCGTGCGGCAGCACCTTGGTCAGGCCGAAGTCTCCGATCTTCACCCTCATCTCGCTCTCCACCAGGACGTTCCTCGTGGCCAGGTCTCTGTGGATGTACCGCTTAGTGGCAAGGTAGTCCATGCCCTGTAGTGTGGATAGAATCACACAGAGAAAGAGAACTGGTGTTACTTATGAACTTTAAGGAAAACATCTAAATATAATATTGTACAGATTGTGCCTCTTAGAAAGGAACAAACTAAAGAATAAAACATCGGGAACAAAACACATGCATACATATTATACAATATCTATATCTCACCATCTGAGACAAAATTGTTGCATGAATAGAAGATACAATTAATATTTTAAGGTGTTTTTTTTTGTAGATTTCCATATATATATATAATATTTTATTATTCAGATTTGTAGAACAACATCCGCTCCCTAACCACACCTTCACAGTTTCAGCTCTGCAATAAACGCTCGTACATAATGTGCACTAATGAGGTCATTATCACAGTATACTCCCTGCCATGGTTAATAATGCTCGTATTCAAAAGCGTAGGCCATTGTGTTTGTCAAGGAGAAATACAGCATGAGCTCAAAATAATGATATCTCTTTGTGCTGTAAATGTCTTTATACAACAAACATGTATTTATAACACACGTGATCAAACAGGTGACCAAAAGTAAAAAGCAAATTACATTTCCCTAATCAGAGATAGGAGAGTTTGAAAGCATGTACAAATAAACTAGCATATTTTCAGTTACATTGGAGTGCATCTTAGAAAGAGATGACCACCATTTATAGTCTGCATCACTGCTTTACAATACCTTGCAGATCTGCGACGCGTAGTGCAGCAGTTTGCTGAAGTCGAAGCGGTCCTTGTGTTTGATGAGGTAATCTCTCAGGCTGCCGTAGGGGAGGTACTCCATGATCAGTCGGAGGTTCTTCCGTCCTGCACAAACAAAGTGCGATACTTATAAGAGAATGTATGACGTGTGAGCAGTGGATCGAAGGCCTATGAGGAAATCTAGATGTATTCATTTAATGGGCTCGGTCACTACACCCTAGGCAGCAACAATTGTACATGAATGAAAATATATAACAATCTGCCGGGGAAGTGAAACACACTTCCCAGATCTCTGCAAAGAATCAAGATTCATCAGGCCAATTATTGCTTCATTTAAATATGCCAACAAGGAAAATATATACTTTCATGCTTCTGTACGGAAAATAATAAATAAATGCAAAATAAAAGACCAAGTAACATTGTGGAAGGAAATATCAAAGACTTAATTGTGGGGGCTAAACTGATAAAGTATATCATTTAATTTGATAAATGTTTGAATGTCTTTTTCATAAGAAAACATTATGTTTGAATATCCTTTTGTTAACAGCAAATGTCCTCTTATCCCTTTATCCATCTTGGAAACACTCATGATAAATAATAAGAATAAGGCAGACTAAATTGAACGTCTATTTTGACTACTGTCATATTTTGATTTTAAACACAAACAAGTCAATAGATTTAAAACAATGACAGGGAAAGGATGCACAATCCCACCTTTTATTGTGACTTTCCATCTCCTAATTCATTTGTTGCGCGTCAGACAGCTCGTACCTGCACTGTAGCAGACTCCTTTGTATTTCACGATGTTCTCATGCTGGAGGGATTTGAGGATCTCGATTTCCCGCTCAAAGTCCCTGAGGTGCTCCGCCGTGCTGTGCTGCAGCTTCTTCACGGCCACCACCTCCCCCGTGCTGTCCTGCAGGGGGTCGTACCGGCACATCTCCACGCTGCCAAAGTTTCCCTGCAGGGCAGATTTAAGAGGTTTAGAAACAGCAGATGGGAGTTCAAGCAGACATGAAATGATATGTAGCAAAGTCTTA